AAATTGATGAGTCTGTCTTTTTGCGAAGAGTACGGATTTCGCTTTCTTTCTTGCGAACGCGACAAAACACGTGCATATCTTTTTTTTTATTACGCGGCTGTTTGTGTACGTCCTCTTCCTTTTGTTCGTGATATGCACAGAGACCTTTTGCCTGTAGTTTGGCGTTGTTGTCTTGGCGTGACCCGATGAGAATAACGAGTGATTATTAATAACGTAATGTATCCTCCGGTAAGCTCTGTGGTATGGATAATGTAGAATAGTTAACGTGCGACAGCGAGAATCATCGCAAGTGATTTGCAAACGCGACGACGAACGCGTGGCAAATCAGTGACGAAGCAACGTGGCGAAGCCACTGAGTCTCTTGATTAAAATACATTGTAATTTGATGGAGTATTCTTGTAATAATGCTACTAATCTGTTAAAGAATACTTTGATACTCAGATAAATTGAAAATTTGTAACAAAAATACCTATCAATCTTTGTTTTTTCTTATTCTTGATTAACGTAGTTATTGTTGTACATTCAAGAATAATCATTCATTTCTTTTGCTATGTTGATCGTCACTAGATGATCTAAGTGCTAGATATTCCATTGTTATCATGCGATTGCTATAATATGTCTCTAATATTTATAGGTGCAGCAGCTAATCTACGTAAGGAAGTGATTAGAAACAAGATTAGAGCCATTGGTAAAATGGCGCGTGTCTTCTCCGTCCTGAGGTCAGTAAACGATAAAACATGATATCTATGGAAATTTTAAATATGTCACAAAATGTCCTTAAATATTTTAATATAAAAATGTAATAGATTATCTAGAAAACTCGAAATTTTTAATGACGGTTTCCTTTAATACGTTTAAAACTGTGACAGAGTTATAAAATTATAAGAAAAGTTGACGCACTAATTATTTTACGACTACCTAATATATTTAAATTATTTAATTATTATTAATATATATAATTTAAATTTCCGTTTCAGAGAGGAGAGCGAAAGTGTGCTGCAATTGAAAGGCTTGACGCCAACTGGAGCTTTACCACTCGGTGCATTATCTGGTGGCAAAACCTCTCTGAAAAACGGTAAGGATTTTATGAAACGTTTGGACATTAGAGAAAAATCGTAATTCAGTCTCGAATTTGAAAGCGTAGTGAACTGTGTAATGAACATAATACTTAATCGTCCTGTGCAAGGCGCATTAAGAAGGTAGAAAGAGCGGATACTTTTATCACTGTTCGTGGATAATAAGCGTCTCACAATAGTACTGGATAATCACAAAAGAGAGAGAGAAAATTGAATTCTCGCTGAAGTGGTTCTCTTACACGCGTTTTGACATTCCGTTTATTTTATCCTCTTTTCTTTTTCTCCCGTCCCGTGCAGCTCTCCAAGGCTTCTCGCCGAATCACAAAATTACCTCGTTCGCCGAGGCCAAGGGTTTGGATGCCATAAACGAAAGAATGCCACCGAGGAAGGACGCGCCGCCCACGCCGGTGAACGAGGAGAAATCCGTGACAAAGCCGCCGCCTCCTGCGGGAGACAAGCGGGACCACAACATGCCGCAACCGCAATCGTGAGCCCCACACTCGTCCAATCAAGGTACGCGTCCAAGCCACCTACGTTTAGGTCCTAAACGTCAAGAGACAGAGGAAAAGCTTTGCTTTGCCTCCGCTCGGCTTACACGCTATTTAGCGTGTTGTCCTGACCGATCTCGACATATCCGGGTGATTGATTTATCAGAGTTAATAGGAAATTTTTGATAATTTTGATCTCTTTTACGAAAATGCTCATTCTAAACTTTAGGTAATATGAATTTCTTAGCCATTAATTTACAGTAATCCGATGTTTTTTCGTAATACGATAAAATCGTTTTAACTTTACGAAAAAGATCTGTACTCTTTAAACAATGTTATTCATTTGATACTACCGTTAGAAAAAGAAATTAGAGACAGGAGTATGTTATTGGATCTAAATGCTATCATATTAATGTAAAGCGAACGTTTTTCTAGATGGCGGATGGATGGACGGGTCCTAAGATCCCGGCGCTATCGCCGCTACCACCGAACATTTGCAAACCATTGCTCGTCTCTCCCCCCCCCCTCTCCGGCTGTTACAACCAGTGCGCTGTTCATCGAGGAGTCAGGAGAAACCATCGCCGCCGCGAGAGAAAGATCAGAAATGGACGGACGGAGGGTCGTGAAGCGAAAGCGATTTTTCGTCGATGCGATTTTCAACGAGCATCGTCATCGGCTCTGGTGCGCACATAGTAGAAGAAAGCAGCAGTCAAGAAAAGGGGGCCGCATGAAGATCGAGAAATGTCCAGTCGGGCGTTTCGTAGCAGATCTCCTCTTTTCCGAGGATTTGCCTCCGTTTCTCTTTTTCGCGTATACTGTACTCGCGAATCGGAGAACAAAAATGTTAGCCTCCCTTTTACGATGAGCCGCGCACGCGACGTTCTCCGATCTCTCTCCGTTAGCACGATTGTCCCTTTCTTTCTCTCTATTCTTGCCTTCATTCACTCCGTTTCTCGCTCTTATCCTCTCTTCCCCACATCCACGAAACGTGTACATTATCCGCGTATCTCTCGCGGATTAATCGACCCGGTGTACATATGTACGCGCGCGTGTACGATGTATCAACGACGAAACGGAACATTAGAGAACATATATCCTGTAAGTAGATTCGTTTGCATGTCGAATCGAATGTTCATGCATGAGAGGAGGAAACAATCTCTCCTGCTCTCCGTCGGACACAATTTCTCTCGTGTCTTTTCTTTCTTCAACGCAACAAAAAAGCGAGGGAGAGAGAGAGAAAGAGAGAGAGAGAGAGAGAAGAGAGAGGATAGGAAAGAATGACTCGTGCGCGGTTACGTTTATCTAATGAGAGGAATCGCATAGACAGTGTGAAAGAGAGAGAATGAGAGGGAGAGAAAGAGAAAGAGAGAACGGACGAGCGGTCTCCGCCAAAGAAACAAAAAAGGCAGCTGGCCTGTCGTCACGGCGGAGCTTCCGGTTTTAGGATTTTATTAGGTTCTTAAGATGTGTCCACCCGGAGTAACGCGTAAGGGCATCCCCTGCGCCTGGGATGGTTACTTAAATCTTAAGTCGAGCTAAGCTTAAGGCTAAGTCGTAAATTATATATATATATATATATATTTTATATATATATATATACACACACACACACACACACACACACACACACACACACACACACATACACACACATATATATATATAATGATATCGGAGAATTTATTTAATATACATAAATATTATAAATATTATATATTATATATTATATATTATTATTATCATTATTATTAATTATTCATTATGTAATCCGAATACCGTGTTTTTCGCTGCCGCGCGTGCACACGTCCGTCACGATCGCACGAAATAATTAACGCGCGAAAGACATGCACGTCGAACGCGCGCATCGTTTTCAAGTACACTCATTACGATATAATCTATCTTGGCCGTTCTGCCCCAAGGATTCATTCAACATTCTCATTCGTGCGATGTCGAAAAAGGTATCTCGTTTTCGTTGTATCTTCATTTCACGGAACTGCACACGGCCATATGATCTTACACGCAAGATATTCATTATTTGTTAAGTTATTGAGATGAATCTCGCTATATTGTATAACGATCGTCCAGCCGGTTTCAATAACAACTATCGTGTTTTTCGTTTAAAGTGAGCCATCGGTTTATATCACGCAAGAATCTCGTTCGTGTTACACAGCGCAGCGACGGGCTCGATGTATATCGTTTTTATTACATGATCTCTCTTTGTAAACTTCCATTTTATTATATATTTTTTTATGATATCGTAGAGAATGAATTTATGATTAAATACATACGAAAACGAGATAGTTTTAAATGAAAGCGCTTTTCTTGACAAAACGTCAAGAAGAGACTTGATCCCGCATGAATGTGGATTCCAAAACATATGTATTTAACAGTGAGCTATAACACGTATGCTCGATTAGACATGTGATGCATATCTCTTGTTCCAATTAGTCGCACAAGTTTGCTAGAAAGAGCCATTCAAATTGAAACAATTGCTGGCACACCCGGTAGGGCAATCGTAATACGTTACTCGGGCGTGAACTCAGCCAATAGGCTCGAAATTAAAATCCGATAGTAGGTCATAATGGTGCTGGAAGAAATGCGCAAGCTAGTGAGAGTTAAAAGAAAGAGGAGACAATGCATTTTCAAGAAAGCAGCACCTTGAGCCAGTCGATCTATTATCTCAAACGTGCGTTTGTGCTCCCGATAATCTGATAATAAGCCTGAAACCACAGCCGTACTCTGCTTGTACCTGGCGCCGAAAGTGAATCCTTGCCGTTAGTTAGTGACAGCGGTACAGAACGGCCGAACATGAGGCAAAAACTCGAGAACCGTATCGCGAAATGACGACGTATCGTAAAATTTTGCGGATAATATATATTACATTTTTGCGAGTTACTTATTTCGAGGAATGGATTCTACGGGGGAGTAATAATCGTTGGGATGAATAAAATGTTTCTCGTATGGGGAAACGAACGCGGTCGTCGAGACGCTTCCGCTTCGATCGTCCGCGCTGTCACGCGCTCAATACGCTTGTCGCACATGACGTCCCGAAGATAATCAGAATTGAGGGCGGTTACTCTCGTCTCTCGTCTGTAATATTTATAGTAATAATCGCTCGCGGTCGTATCGCGGGATTTTGTCGTCGTTTTCGCTGTTTTTTCTACCTCTTCTCTAGAAATCGAGACGTCGCATTCTTAGCGAGCTTCGCGAGCTGAATTAGCGTCGACGAGCAGCGCGGGGGATCGCAAGCCTAATCATATCGGGTATACCGGGTAGAAGAAAAAGTGTAGATGTGAGAGATTCGAGATAGAGCATCTCGGGAAGCCGAATGACGGCATCGTCAGCGTTACGGTCTGAAACATAATAAAAGTAATGAAAGAATATTATAATAAATGAAATAAGATATATATCTCTCTCTTCTCACTACGATATAAAATATACAGTGAATAATAATTCTATCTCTCTTTGCTACCAAGTTGTACTTATTCTTAATTAATTTACTTGTACAAAAGAATGTGTTAAATAATAATGAAATATATAATATAATATACACATAATTATATATATAAATAATACATATTATAATTATATAAATATAAATATATATATATATATAAATATACATATATATATAAAAAAAGGAATACTACGATATATACAGGATGTCTCAGAGCTATCGCCACTCCTTTCATCTATGGAGTCCCTCAGATTTTTCCTTAAATGAAAATTTCTGCAAGTATCATCGATTTCCCACGATTTACTTTTCAAAATTCAAAAAAGACTTGAGTAAAAAGTTTTCGTCTTTTTCTCCTTAATTACTTGTAATTCAGAAAGTATCGGTGTTACTTCTATAAAAAAAAAAAATAATAATAATCGATTCCAAATCGAAGTATTCCTAGATGAAAGAAGCCGCCTCAATTCCGAGTTATTCTGTATACACACGTGTATACATATACATTACAGTGTTGGTTATATCTGATATTATCGCATCATTATGATTACGACGCGATTATTATTCATTTTAATTATGATCTAATTATTGCCATTGTCACTGCTGTCGCCGTTGCAATCGCTACACCGTTATTACTTGTAACTATCGCTATCACGAAACACGAGGCGCATACAACATTCAGCGTTACAGTGATTTTCGGAATGAAACGACACGCGGGTCAAATTAATAAATGCACATACGGCATATACATATGTATGTTGATACGATTACGATTGTCACTTGCGCTGCGATACGACGAGGGTGACATGATGATTCAGAACGTCATTTAAGTCACTCCCGTCTATCCCCTTGGTTGTAGAAATGATCCGTTCTATGAATGCAAAGAGAGAATTGTGTGAACGCGAAGAATGAATTAAAGGACTTCCCTTTCGTATGCACGAATTTTCACGGACCATTAATCTTTCGGATAATAGTCTTGACTTGTGCCTTGTTTAGACGTTTCTAATCGTTTCCAATCAACTCGCGATTCGCACACCCCCTACACTCGAACAAACGCACCTCCGACGTTATTCCTTTGTGAGAAAAATACTTGACAATTCGGATGTTGTTACTCGTCGTCTTTTTTTTTTTTCGAAGAGAAGGTCTTCCCCGGTGACTTCTTGCGGATTGAAAGAAATTGATTCTTCGCGCTTTCTCGGTGGTGTAGCGTAAATCTTTGCGGTCAAATTAATTGATTTTACTCAGAAAGCTGCGGCGTTATCTCGATTCGGACAATCTATTCTGCAATAGAACGATCCGGCAGCAATTGCGATTACTCCATCAACGCATACGGACACGGACATCCTGTTCATTCACTTGAAAAAAATAGCGTCGTGCCGACACTAAATATGCGTTTTATATCCCATAGATATAATACACGCGACGGTATTGCCATATATGTATGTAGAACGCGAGTTTTGGGTCACTCTTTGTACGCATCAAACGAAGTGGGAAAGAATAATCATGTATTACATCCTAATTCATACGACACACGTGCGTGCTATATATGTATACAGAGTGCCTCGCGACAGACTGTATTTATAAATTTGTTGTGCAATGTAAAATCAGTTCTTTCTTTAAACAAAAATGAATTCTTGTTATTTGTTCAAATAACTAGATTTTTCAGTGAAGTTTTTATTCATAAAGTTTAATCATTGAGATAAATTGAAAAGTATGAGAAAATGAGAAGGAAAGATGGCATTCAAAGTATTGTTGAGAAAAAAATCGGCTTTCAATCCTTCAAAAGATCTATTGATAAATTAATTTGTCATGTAAATCGCGTAACACCCTGTATATACGAACACACACACACACACACACACACACACACACACAACTAATTAAATACTACTATAT